GGAAGGAGAGATAAGGGCAGGGAAAAAGAAAGGGGGCATTATGATTAGCATGTATAATGTCGGCGGGGGGACACAGGGAGGGCTGTGCAACACAGAGAAGACAAGTAGTGATTCTACAGCATCTTACTACACTGATGGACAGCGACTGTAATGGGGTTTGTGGCGGGGACTTGGTGAAGGGGGGAGCCTAGTGTACATAGTGTTCTTCACATAATTGTAGATTAATGATACCAAAAAAATTAAAAAAAACAAGTATTGGCTAACCTTACGTCTCTATATTATTTTGGTGCGGCAAAGACACTGATATTTCAAGTAGCAATGGCACATGACCAAAAAAAATAAGGAACAATGGAATCCAAAGAATTCAGAAGAATATAAAAAATGGTGCTCAGTGGATTCTGAGTTAAATCTGTGGTATAACCAAAGTTAATTACTGATGTCTTTAGAAATACTCATTAACAGCTTTTCTGCACAGTAAGCAAATTGTACACATCTCTTTATTTGAAAAAGAAAAAATAATAATCATGGATACCACATACTAATTTCAAGAATTCTAGAGGTTTAAGAAATTTACCTCAAAATTGAAAGTGTTAGTCACTTTACTGGGTATTGTTTAAAAATTCAAATATTGTTGGAAGAGTCTTATTTTTGTTCTTTTACAGTGCAAATGCATTAATATTTCATCATGATACCATTTGTCACTACTGAAACAAATTTAGCAAGAGAATATAGGCTAAGCCTACCTCTAGTCTAAGGATATAATGAACAGACTCTGAAATGTCAGTAGCAGTCATTTAGATTTCCAAATTGGGCATTCCAACATCAGGTTAAAAAAGAAGTTATATCAAACCACAGTGAGGTACCACTTTACACCCACTAGGATAGCTATAATGCAAAAGAGGTAACAGCAAGTATTGACAAAGATGTGGAGAAATTAGAACCCTCATACATTGCTGGTGCAAATGTAAAATAGTGGAAGAACTTTATAAAAATAGTCTGGCAGTTCCTCAAAGGCTCAACATAGAGTCATCATATAACCCAGCAATTCCAGTCCTAGATATATACAAAAGAGAAACGAAAAAGACATGCCCAGACAAAAACGTATACACAAATGTTCATAGCAGCAATATTCATAAAGCTTCAAAGTTAAAGTCATCTAAATGGATAAATAAAAATAAATAAATTGGTGTATCAATACAACGTAATATTATTCAGCAATAAAAAAATGAAATACTGATATATGCTACAACATGGATGAAACGTGAAAACATTATGCTAAATGGAAAAAACCAGTCATGAAGGGTCACATACTATAACATTCCATTAACATGAAATGTCCAGAATAGGCAAATCTATACAGAAAATAGATTAGTGGTTGCTTAGGGACAGGGTAGTTGGAAGGAAATGGGGATGACTACTAGTGGGTACAGTTTCTTTCTGGAGTGATTAAAATGTACTAAACTTAAATGCAGTGAAAGCTGCACAACTCTGTAACTATACTAAAAACTATTATTTGTACAATTTAAATGTGTGAATTGAACTGTATATGAACTATATGCTCAAGCAAGATGTTACATATAAAAAAATTTAAGTCATACAATTTTTCAAAAGAAAGAATTTTGGAGAGGATAAATTAGTTACCTGAAATCTTCTGAATGCTTCTTAAAAATACAAAACCTTTTACTTGGACGGTTACTATGAAAGCTGGAGACAAAATAGATTTCATTAATTTTATTATACAAGAAGTCATTAATTATAGCATTTATCAAATCTATAGTTTCTTGTTTGGCATAAAAGATTATTATATAAATAACAAAATAATGTATGTCACCCCTGTTTAATTCAACATTTTATCTTACAATCTATTTTACCTATTTAATTTCTAATGATATCTACTTCCCTAAGCATATTCTTATAAAATCAGTACCTCACCATTATATAAATACTTGAATTAAAAAAAAGTAAAGCATGTCAAATTAATTTTTTCATTCATTAAGTTGAAAAAAATTTAAACTTTTTGCTAATAACATATTTGCTACATATGAATGGATAGCATTAATTAACATTTTAAAAAATCATTTTTCCAATCATAACATGCTTGTGTCAGGTGAGAGAAGTAGAATCCAAATCATCTTTGATGTAAACAGTATTTAAGATAAATATCACTGTTCACATTTGCAAAATCAAACATTCGGACAGTTCTTTATTACAATTACTAATAGAGGGTAATGAAAAAAAAAATTAAAGTAAGAGCTCTGAGCTTAAAAAGTGCTTCCCCTAAGCACAAAACAGAAAACCACTAACCGAATTTTGTAGCCAATGAACAGCTTTTATATACCTTTTCAAATCTGGTGACGAAAGCTTTCCTGTACTAGAAAGCTAGGATTAGCTTACTGCACTATCACTAAAAATGGAGTCATGGGCTAATAATATCAGCATCCTATGGAAGCTTATGTTGGAATGCAAAGTCTTGTGCTCCCTACAAAACTACTGAAATTATCTCTGGCAGCTGGGCCTAGGAATACATATAAAAAAACTTCTTCAGGGAGTTTTACGCAAGCTAAGTTTGAGAAGCAGTAACCCTAGCAGGCACTGATAGACCGCAAGCAGCCAACACACCACATCAATGGTCACTTTCAGATACAGGGTAACCATCATGAGTACAGCATATACGTATGGGAAAAGAAATACTCTGATAAGCTATAATTCCTGGAAAATATCCTCAGAATATTTCTAATACTCATTTCTTCAATCTGGGGATAATTACTCTTAAAGAATTTACAAATTCAAGATAACATAACAAAAATAATTAATTTTTTTTAAGAAGAGAATATCAGGGGATTAGTAAACCCTGAAATTACATGCAAAAATTTGTGCACCCAACTGTTTTTCCCCAGAGGAATAAGTCCAAGATTTTATCTGATTCCCAACGAATGTGAACGAAAATGAGGTTTTTTTAAAATGTGATTTAAAACTAACTTTAAAAAACTTATTTCTTCATTCTCCTCAGACTGTTTTTAGTTTTTGGTTTCTTTATGTATTTGGTAAGAGGAGAAAAAACTATATTTCAGCATCTTTTTGATGGCTTACATTTCTGTCTATAATGTGTAACTTATTAAAATGTTGGTAATTTAAAAATTTTTAGTTGTCTGAATCCAGTTTCAGACTTCCCTATCTATAAAAGGACTTATATTGCCTCTTCATTTATATTTACTATACAAATTCTATGCTTATAGTTTTGGGTATTATAGTAATGGAAAAGTAGATTTGTTAGCTCACAAACAAAAAGGAAAAAAAACTACCCTTCTTTCTATTAGATTTTTATATAAAATTAATAACAACACAGAAATAAACCTAAGACAAGAGAAAAAAGGTTGAGATTTTATTACAATATAATAAAAACATAATGTTAAAATCTAGGTTTAAAAAATTTACCACCTTGTTATATGACTATATATAATTAGCAAAGCTTATTAAGCTGGAATCTAAAAACAGGTGAATTTTACTGTGTATAAATTATACTTCAGTAAGACTAGAGGGAAAAAAATCCCTTTGTATTTTTAATGACCTTCACTCAGTATAAGGAACAACCTTACTTTCAACAAAACACAAAAGGAATAATATCCTAAACATCCAACAAAATATTGATGGTATGCCCACTATTTAAGACACTGGACTAGAGGCTGATGATACAAAGAGAAAATGGCAAGTTGTCTGCCCTAGAGTTCACAGTTTGGAGATAGAGAGGCAGGCAAGAGGAAGTCGAACAGCTGCTGCTGCACAATAAATGCCTAATAAATATTTGTTACACAAGTGAATATATTCATAAATAATTACCACAAGATAAACATCAACAGTGACACATAAAAAGTTTATGGTTGCATGAAGGAAAAGCTGCAAGAGAATGGAGCAGAAGCCAGCTAACAATTAGAAGTTAATTTCAGTTAAGAAGGTCCCTACTATCCTGCTCCAGGCAAAGCAAAGAGCAAGATATAGAGAGATTTTCAAGAAAATAAGAGTTAAAGTAATTGATAAAGTAGTTCTTTGTCCTACTTTTTAGGCCAAAGATTTTAGGCCAAAAAATGACCTGACCAGATAAGCCTACTCTATCAACAGAGGAATGGAAAAATTACAAAAGGGGGTTAGGGAGACTAGACAGGATGCAGTTATGATACTATCACAACAATCCAACTGTTGTTCTAACTACTATTATGTAGTGCCAATAAAACTGTATGAAATATACAATGAACTCAAGCATATCTTAGAAAAATCAATTCAGCACTCTGTCTTATCCACTGTATAGGAACAAACTGTAATAGCAGTTTTCTTTTTCCTTGGAAAAATTTTAAACTTGAAAGCCAACATGAAATGTCATTTACTGAGCACCTTCCCTTATTTTTTGTTTAAAAAAATTCAGCCTTACCTACTCTGTGCTCTCATAGGCATTTATCACATTAAGCTAGGTAAATAAACCACTTCTAATAAATTGGGAAAATTAAAGGCAAGGACTTTATTTATAGTATCTAATTATCACAACTTAGAAACAATAGCTATAATTACTTGGATATCTCCTCAGTTCAAATCATTTTATTAAGCACTTAAGCATATTTTTCTCTAATAATCAAAATACCTTTCTTTTTAAGAAAAGGAAACTAGAAGTCAGGTTAAGTAACCTGCACAAAGTCACATAGGTAATAAATAAATAAATAAATGGTGAAGACTGGATTCAAATCCAGATTTGTCTGATTCTTCACCATCAGCTTGCTGTACTTCTTAGCAAACAGAAACCTCTTCAAGAAAAAGAAATAGTAAATACTCATGTCTGCTAACTTAATTCTATTACATGTGGAGAAAAAGCCTTCTTAAACATCATGTTGAGGAATAACAACATTATACAGCAATTTGTTTGCATTTTTT